CAGTGAAGAATCCTGCACTGACACCTGTCGGATATAATCCAACGCCCTTCGTGATATTAGCCAGGGGAGTAGTTGTTTTCTGATAGGTGTCAGTCCATTAACCTACTGTGTAGGGTGTTGAGGCTGGCCTGAACGAATTGTTCTTTTAGATGATTTGATTTATAGCCAGTCTTCAAGTATGCCCACTGACTATACGTGAAAAACATTGAATATATCAAACATTGAATATATCTCTCTAACCATATAGGAATTTTCTTTCTACCTTCATCCATTTGTTTCTTCCATAATTGATTCCTTCTTGGGCTGCTCTACTTCTGTTGTTGGTAAATTTGGGGTACACTCTATTTTTTATACATTGGTTGAAAAACCATATGTTTTGTGTCGTTAAAGCACATCGTAGAATTGGATTATTCTAAAGATATTTCTTTCTTTGAAAATGTTTGTTAGGGCGCTTTGTTTTGAAGATACGGGGCGAAATAGAATTTCCACAGTAACAATTTTGGTAATTTTAAAATTATTAACGTATAGCGCACTGCACTGGACCTACCAAGTGATAAAAAATCTAACTATTCCGTTGCTACCTATCAACAACACTCCGATTAATGAAGAAAAGAGAATTGAAATTTTCTATGTTTCTAGCACTTTTATTTGTAACTAACGTTACTGCAGTTCCATCCTATAAGGACATTTTCAAACTTATACGTATACGTTTGTTACAAATAAAAGTGGTAAAAAACATAGAAAGTTTCAATTCTCTTTTCTTCATGATTTCCTGCCACATAGTAACGGCTACACCCATCAATTTATTGAAACAAGCAACACTCCGATTACTACAAACGGCTGCATACATTCACTTTGAATATTATGTCTCGTAAGTTATCATTTGTATGTGTCAAACTGTTTATTTGACGTGTATTTTCTATGTTTAATCTTGTTTGTGAAGTCCTCCATCATGAATGGCTATAGTAACGCAAAGATGGCATACATGCATTTCATTTATGTGCTTGCTGATAGCAATTCATTGGAAGCTAGGCGGTTGTGTAGTGAACGATTTCCTAATCGTGATGTGCCTAGTAGAAAAACCTTTCAAAGTACACATCAACGACTCCGTGAAACAGAAGCATTGGAGTGAAATCAGGATCAGGAAGGCCAATGACAGTAAGAATGGTAGAAGTAGAAAAAAATGTGCTGGCCATTGTGAAATACTAATTGTTTCTAATAAGGGCATCATTGACAACTCTCTATATCACTTCCTTGATGTACTTTATTTATTAATAATGGATAACAATAGTGATTGTATACAATAGCTGCACACCATCGTGATGGCTGATTGACAACTGGATTCGCTGCCGTGTTGCCACTTCTACTGAATACATGACAGCCATGATAGAAAAATATCCAGGTACCTCCACTTGAAACATTGCAAATGCTTTAAATGTAAGTAACGGGACGATTTGGAACATTCTTAGAGACTATTTGTTGTACCCATACCAAATACAACGAGTTCAGGCACTTCTCCCTGCAGGAAATTCCACAATAACCATGTTTGGGCTGCCAGGAAGATTTACCGGCAAGGTATATCACAACTTTTTGGAATAAACGCAATCGGTCCGGCCGTTTTTGAGATCAGCCTACAAACACACATACAAACAGGCAAATAGAAAAAAATGTTAACAGTCATTGTTTTAGTTTCCATTGCGTTAATAAAGACTCCCAATAATATATTTTCTTGAATATCCTCTAACTACACAGAAATCAGTTACATTTTGATTTTTGTTGGTGTCACGGAATTGACTACGTTGGTCAACAGCCTCGTGTTCTGGGTAGGCAATGTTAATAACTATTGGAGCCACATGGAGATCATCATGACTATTCGTAGTCTGTCGGATATGTAACGTCGCAGAATCATTTCAAATTTAACTAAAAAAATTGTCTCGAGAAAACTATCTGGTCGAGGTGGGGATTTAACTCACGACCTTTTGATCGATAGGCAGACGCGCTACCACTGCGGCAATCCACCGCTGACATTTCAATTACATGTACCGATATACTGGAAAGAAAATACCGGAGAAACACAAAGAAAATCACCCAGAAGGGGAATTCAAAAACACAACAACAATAACAATTTCAACGAAAATTAGAGGGAATTAACATCAATGAAGTCTGGCTGCCTGCACTGAATTACACTCAAAAATGTCATTTAATATCGTCGATATAATAAAACCGAAGACCCAAACTTGATTGTAAGCTAATATGAGAACAACCCGATAACTTGATAATATCCACCGTAGTCGTTGACGGAACATCTGGTGTGAAAACATGCAGACTGGGCCACCAAAAACTAGCTTTGACACTGCGCCAAAAAATGTTTCATACAGCTTGACCTGCAACTTCAACTTCCGTGTGATTGTTGGTGGAGGAACATTTGGAANTTTATTTTCTTTTTTCATTTCTTTATTTTCATTTATTCAATTGTTCTATTTTTACTAGTATTTTATTTCACTATTATTTCATTTCAGGTTCATTTTGGTTAATATAATTGTTATTTTCTGCAATTCATTTTCATTTCTTTTTTTTTAGTTGTTTCAGGGATTTCAAATCATTTTATATAGTAAACAATGGAAGTCCGAACTAATGAAATTCATCCTGAAACATTGCCAATCACCTTCAAACAAACTAGTATTTTGACTTTGATTTATCTTTCTTTCAGTGTTCATTAGCATACCTCAAAATACATATCCCTTTAACTTCATGATTTTACATTCATTGCCAAGAACTGCGATCCTATATGTATCTCTTCAATCGTCGCAAAAAGCCGTCCTTTTATAGCCCTCTTCAATCTTGGGAACAGAAAAAAGTCGCAGGGGAGCAAATCTGGCGAATACGGTGGCTGAGGCATGACCACCAAAAAACTAAAAGCGCTAAACATCTGAAACTAAGAACATACGTTCGAGACAAATGTACCAACATGAAAAAAAAATTGCTAATAGAAAGAACGTAGCCCCCGAAATTTGAACATTCAACGTATTCTTCAACAGTACTCAGCAGTAGTACTACTATTACAAATGTCACACATCATAGTTATCATTAAACTGATACCCACTTGTCAAAAGTTTGTTATTTATACTAACATCAAAATCATTAAGTAAAATACTGCGATTGATTTTGGAGCCGGAAATGAGGAGTAAACAGGTTTTAAGAACGGAAAAGACTATTTTCAGCAACTTTGACTACTTTTGAAGAAATGAGTATCAACATTTCATTCTTCAATACAACTTCAAAGTTACGCAGTAACTTTTCGAGCTAAATGTTTTAGTTCACCTTCTAATTCACTTGTGTAGTTTATCTGTTGATTCACAATAATTCATTTTCAGGATTGAGAAAGATTGAAAAATTCACGAAACTCCAATAAACTTCCACAATATTCTTCAATGAATCTAACCTATTTGTGCACACAACCAACAAACCGCTAATAGCAACACATCAGACTGTTTTTCACCGGACCCTAGACAACACGTGTCAATCCCTCCCACTCAAATTCATCAAAAAACCAATCGCCCCCCTCAAACCTCAACTCAAACCCCTGAACACATCACTCACCCTCGAAATCCTCAACTGCTGTCCCGAATCGGCTCCTCCATGCATGCGAAAACCCCACGGAGCACCACCTTCGAGCAGGACTTCGCGCGTCGTCATAGCCCACTCGATGTGGACGGCGGCGAGCGTTGGGACGGCGCCAACTAGATTTCATGGAGTTCAGCGAGAGGCGATTGTTTGCTGCTTGGCGTCCGTGGCCTGATAATTTTTGCCAGGCCGGTCATCGATCAAAATAGACGGCTTGACGAGATGAGAATTAATTAGATCTTCCGGCCTGCTGGCGCTTCGGGTCGCTGAAAGAGGAAAATGGGGTTAGGTCAGTCGTTTGATGGGTGAAACTATGAATATTTCCGAGAAATTATTCATGAATTGCTTTTGTAACTACTGTTGAATGCTGATCTGTATTGTATTTCGTCTTTTATCTGTTTTCTTTGTTCTATTTTTCCGTTTCGCTACTGCAAGATACAACTTACATGGAGTACCCAAGATTTAGAAATAAACAGGAAAACAGAAAAGCTAGATCAGTTGAGATTGCTATTGCTAAAAAATTCGAGTTTATTTACAATGAAAATGATAAGGGGAAGTACGTAGTTTCAATATTATTTGACTTGGCTAAGGCGTTTGATTCAGTAAACAGTGACATACTGGTTAGTAAGTTATATTACATTGGCATTAAAGGGTTCCTTCTGGAATGGATAAAATCTTTTATGGAAGATAGGAAAATGTTAGCGACTGTGAAAAATGCAGTATATGATATTGAAGATATTATCCTTGGGGTACCACAGGTGTCCATTTTAGGCCCACTGCTCTTCTCGTTCTATAGTGTGACCCATTTTTAATGGAAACACCCTCCTAAAATTTAAAATTGTAAATCGATTTTAATAATTTTTTTTAAATGTCAAGTACTGAAAGGTCTACCTTGGGACAAAATTTGAAATGTTTATCAATGTTTCAGGGCATACTACGATATTTTTTCTTAGTCGAAAATCGGGATTTTTCATTNCAAGTGTCAAACTGTAATATCATTTCCATGGCAACTAAGATTTAAATTGAAATATTAGGTCTTAGTTTTAGTTAATTTGCGTGAAAAGTTGAATGTAATTCCGTTATTTTCATTAAATAATTTACGCTATTTGTTTTGTTTTTTTCATCTGGCGGAACTTTATTGTTGAAATCATAAAAAAATATTCTCATGACTATATCTGTTGATATAGGGTTTTTTTGTGACTGTTAGCTGTGTGAGTTTTCGAATTTTTGAGTTGTCATAACTTTGTTAATAATGAATATTTTTTCATGAAATTTTGGTCACACCTATTTAGAGGCACTCTGAATCCAGTGGCGTAGTGATTTTTTCAATAAAAACATCGCTAATAAAAAATCCCGATTTTCGACTAAGAAAAAATATCATAGTAGGCCCTGAATCTTTAAGAAACATTTCAAATTTTGTCCCAAGGTAGACCTTTTAGTACTTGACATTAAAAAAAAAGATTAAAATCGGTTCACAACTTCAAATTTTAGGGGGGTGTTTCCATTGAAAATGGGTCACACTGTATATAAATGATCTTTCGAAGTATACAAAACAAGGTTTCATTATCCTATTCGCAGATGACACTACCATAACAGTTTCCGGAAATACTGCGGAGGAGCTAGAAAACAATATTAATTCAGTCATGGATGACATGATTTCTTGGTGTGATAGGAATCAACTGAAACTGAATGAAAGTAAAACAGTCCATTTAGGCTTCACGTTGAGGAAAACAGTAAAACTTAACAACATCCAACTCTCGGAAACAGCTGAACTCCTTGGTATGTTTATAGATAAAACCGTGTTTCAGGAGCCCCATATTGATCATGTCTGCAAAAAATTGAATCAAGCAATATTTGCAATACGACAGATCAAAGACGTGCTTAGTTTAAATGGCGAGTCCTTGGCTCACTCACATATGGCTCAAAATATATTAATGTGGGGTTCTTCTGTGGGGGCAAAACGTGTTTTTATCGTTCAGAAAAGATCAATTAGAACTATCTTTAATATTGCACCCAGGGATAGCTGTAGACCTGCTTTCTCTAAGAACAAGATGCTAACGTTAGCGTGTATCTACATATATAAAGCACTGCTCCATGTGAAAGATAATGTACCCAATTTGAGAGATGAATCAATAGTTCATAACTATGCAACACGAAATATACATTTATTAACTATCCCAAAACATAAAACATCGACATTCGAAGAATCACTTGCATATAATAGCATCATATTATTCAATACGTTGCCTCAAGATATCAAAGATTTGCATATTATAACTTTTAAAAAACGAATAAAGGATCTATTAACTAATAAACGATATTATAGCGTAGAAGAATTCTTAGAAAGGGATACACTGTTATGATGATTATTGCTTTCACTGCATTTCTTTCACCCTAGTTAAATATTAATTTACTTTTATGTATTTGTATGTATATATATAGTTGTATGTGTATGTGTTTTTTTCATTTTTTATGTATGTATATAGTTAAGTAACTGTTTTAAGTGTCCGATCTATGCTTCTTCAGATTTTTTTCATGGAGGCTTCTAAAATCGATTTTTGCCTCAATATTTATTAGGACTGAAGAGAAGGATAACCTGTGTAGAACTGCAGGAAGAAGTTATTTGGAATATTAGAGATGATCTGAGAAGCAGACGTAATCAATATTTAGAAAACAATGGAAAACTGTTGAAATTCTGTGTGAAAGTTTTGGGTCTAGCAGAAAGAAAGTTGAGCTGAATTTTGTAGGTACCTATTTTACAGAAATCCTATCAAAGAACTGATAAATTTATGATTATCTTCATTTATAAAGGGTCGTAAATGAAGTGCTTCCTATCTTTCATTTCAATAAAACAAAAATTGTGCGAGACGTCGAAATTTCCAATGACCTGTTAATGACATTATGTCTGGAACGTAACGTAGTTCATCTTTCAATTTCACTTCAAAATAAAATATTCATGCATTTATTTTATTATCCCAAATTTCAATTTTTTGATCTGTCCCGTTCAAAAAATAAAAGGGGGGACATTAAAGAAATGCACTGTATATCGAACGCTCTATGAGAGTCAACCATTATTGTTCTTTAACAAAAAGTGGAAGGAACGATTAGGCGACAAACATTCTAATAAACTAAGATGTCCGAAATATAGTCGAAAGGTAAATTTGAACTGCGAGTATTATGTTTGGGTAGTTTGTGTGTTTTATGACTTTGTAAACTCTTTTTAATAGCTCTCCACAAGGTTACATAGCCTCGGATATTCCTATATTAATATGAACTGTGGCACGTTTGTCGGTTTTTATTACGTTTTATTTGACCAGGAAATAAAAAACATATACAGGGTGGTGGCAAATTCATAGTTCAACAGTTTTTGAAATTCAAATGTACCTCCTCCACCAATGATTCTGACGATTTCGAAGTAGATAATAAATATTCTGTTATCTAGCGTTATTTCTATTTCTGTGCGTTACTCATTAGTTCAAAAGTATACTGATAGTAAATAGTTTCGTCGGTATGTATCCAATGATGCGGAATTAATTTGAAATTCAAATTGCCATGGAGAATAACTTGCGGAATGTAATAAATCTGCCTGGCAAATTTCGTCATCTTTGAAATGAGTCGACTTTGAAGGACTTGATATTCTTGAAAGCAGGTCAAAACTTCAAATATTTGGGTCAGTGCAGTAACAAGAAGATAGAACTGCGTGAAATGATATTGCAAAGCATCTTAGTTAGGAAAATAACATTTATTACAAGTTTATTCATATTGAATATTACAATAAATAATGAAATTTGGAAAAATCATGAAATACAAATCAATTCAAAGAACTAAGACAAGCTAGTGTTATACTGTATATTCATGGTTCTCTTTGTATTTTGTGAGCAAACGTCACAAATCTTGGTCTGAGGAATTTTGTAATTTTTCAGCCAGAGGGTCAATGTAATGTATAACGGAAAGCACACATTTTCCAGAGAACTTTTGATATTATTATTTGATTTTCAATCTATTGATATTCAACTGTAAACCCACGGCAGATATCACTAACTAGGTGTGGTAAGAAAATTGGAAATAAACAAGAAATAATGTACTGAATTGATGGATGTAGCCATTACTACGTGGTAGGAACACGAAAAAGAGAATTGAAACTTTCTATGTTTTTACCACTTTTATTTGTAACTAACTTTACTGCATCAGTTTCGTCCTATAAGGACATTTTCAAACTTATACACTAAACTCAATATACATACTTTAATGTATAAGTTTGTACATTAAACTCATTATACATACATTAATGTATGAATTTGTACATTAAACTCGTTATACATACATCAATGTATAAGTTTGTACATTAAACTCATTATACATACATTAATGTTTGGATCATTAATCCCTTTTGTTAGAAGAAGTGCCGGTACTTGTAGGAGGCAACATGTGGTTTATGCACGACGAAGCTCCAGCTCATTTCTGTGTTATTGTTCGTCAGCATCTTGACATCACCTATCCTAATCTCTGGATTGGACGTGCAGGACCCCAAAATTGGCCAGCTCACAGTCCTGATATGAATACTCTAGATTTTTGTTTATGATGTCATCTGAACGTTCTTGTTCGTGAAACTCCTTTAGTAGATGTGAATAACTTGAGGAATCGAATAATTGACGATTGCAATGTCATAAGGAGTATTCCATCTCTCGAAGGAATCAGTCCAGTCATCACCCGAAGACGATTGTGGATACCAACAATCGAAACGTCTACAGATGCCTGAGAAATTTATTCTATATTTTTTTGACTTCTTTCAGTGTAGATTGATATTTTCCCTCCAAATTACACATGCAAACTCTAACATGGGTCTAACTGAGAATTGGAAGAGCATTTTGATAGTATTTATGTTTGTAAACACAAGATTTCCCAATTTAACCATATTATGGATATGCATATATGTTATTCCCAAATCTTTACCTTCCAGTCCATGTTTTGATACAAAAATTACCTACTTACCAACAAAAAAACTCTGAAAGTTCTCCAATCTACACACCAACACCACCTAGCGACTTTTCCGTAAAACAAATAAGTTTTTATTGCAATTATCACTCAACGACAGCGTTTCGTACTGCAACACCGCCCTCAGATCAAAATAAATAGTAACAAATAAACTCAGGCACTCACTGAACCCGAGAATCTATATCAAGTCTTCTGCGTCTGAATAAAACTGTAACGAGCTTTTGAAACGCTTTCGACTCTGGTCGACCTTTTCAGTCGCGTGCGCGTTCCGCGATTGTTTCAAAGCACTGCCTGCTACGATGATAACTTGGTTATGGAAAGGTCCTGCTCCATTTAGCGAAGCCTGCCAACTTCCGACCGTCAAGGATTACAAGGATTCCGGGGAGAAGGAGACCTTTACATCGGATTGAGCTGGTTATTGCGGAATTAGGGATTATTCGATTATAGAAGAAGTGAACTGTAATCGAATCGAGAATTGTTTGCTTTGAGAATTGGGAATTATTGTTGAAACGAAAACAATAATGTCCATGTGACGAGTTGTTCATGATCCGAAATGTTTTGTGTTCAATAAAAACACTTTTCTACTATTTTCTTTGGAGCAACTGTTCAACAATATTCTAACATTCGTCTACATTATCTCTACTTTTATTTTTCGTATATTATTGGCATTTATCTAATTGTTCGAATCAATTCTTCGAATAATTTCCAAATTTTTCATTTTCATATACATTTCTTTTAAAGGGCGAAACACACGCACTACAAAAAATCCTTTAGGCGCTCTTAGAGCGGTACCTGTGAAAAAGTAGCGATTTACGCTGGATTAGAGTCGCTGGAGAGTAAATTCAATTGCAAAAACGTTTTCAGGAAGTTTATTCCACATGCACGCATTTCTCCAAATGAAAGAGTTTTGAACGGTGAAGTTCGAGGTGTACTGATTTGAACCTAAAATCGATGAGCAGCCATAGTCAGTAACGTATTTCTGATATGAACACCTCCCATGAAAATATCTATAAAAGTGGAACAAATCTTCATCAACTTCAGGGTATGTTTAGGGGCGGAGCTCCATACATGAGAACAATACTCCAAAGAAGGTCTGATCTTAGTTTTATAAAGGATCGGAAAGAAGTGAGTCGGGAAGTGAGTCAGTCAGTGAGTCAGTCGGCCAATGATTCAGTCGGTCCTTCAGACGGTGAGTCAGTCTGTAAGCCAGTTAGCGTGCCAGTCAATCTGCCAGTGATTTAGTCAGCACTTGAGTCAGTCAGTGAATCAGATAACGTGTCAGTCTGTGAGTGTGTGAGTCAGTCGATCAGTTAGTGAGTCGATCAGTGAGTCGAGCAGTTGATCTGTCAGTCAGTGAGTCAGTCGTGAGTCAGTAATAAGTCAGTCAGTGAGTCGGTCGGTCGGTCAACATTTCTTAGAAAAAATCTTGATATTTCAGTTTTACATTATATCATATTAGTTCCTGTCGTATTCTGTTCTTTTATGCATATTACTTGTGCAAAATAATTTTGATGTTACACTTCTGTCAGGAGTCCCGTGACGGCTCACAATTTTTTCCAATATGTCGTTGATATACAATAAAAAGAGGTTTGAATATAATATGTATTTCTGGGGAATACCACCGTATTCGTATTTTTGCCTAGAAAGTTTAAGGAAAGGTCCGAAAACGCGCCGATAAAAATCACAAAAGTTATAAACATTTAGTGAAAAAAAATGAGGCTTCAGTTTTTTCTTAATATCTCGGAAAATTTTCAAAACTTTGGAAATTTGAAAAAAGATTTGAAAAGATCAATGAATTTGCGTAAAAAAAGTCCCGACTCCCGAAACTGTATCTCGATTATTTATAATTTTTACAGAGCCCTAAAAATAGAGCCAAAAGCGGGTAGTTTGGCTTCCGCGCGCCTCTCGTCACTCTGACATAAAAATAAAAAAAAATTATTCAAACACATTAAATGTAAATATTGAGGAATGAAAAAATTCATGTAATGTTGGGATACATCAATAAACAATAATCCGCAGTCAGTCAGTTGTTAATTGGTCATTTATGGTCATTCAGTACTCACCATGTGTGATCTCTCCAAAGCTTTTGATTGTGTTTCACACGAACTTTTAATAGAAAAACTTACATTCTATGGCATTAGAGGCATTAGAAGGTAGACAACAGTTTGTCCATCTTAACAACAGTTCTGATTCAGAACTGAAAATCATAAAACATGGAGTACCGCAAGGTTCTGTTCTTGGACCCCTGTTGTTTATCATCTACATTAATGACCTATGTTTTCACATGAGGACGAAATGTCAAATTGTCTTATTTGCGGATGATACCTCTTTCATCAGTTCAAACAGCAACATTTCACGTCTTCTTGACTTGATGACTTGACCTTGATGACTAAAGCGGAAGCTTGGTTCTCTGCCAATAACCTTCGACTGAATAAAGGGAAGACACAAAACCTCATAATTTCCTGTAATAATCAGATCACGTTGGGTAAGCATTGTAAATTGCTTGGGGTTGTTTTAGATGATCGTTTGAACTGGACTCCTCATATAGATATATTGAGTAAGAGACTATCCAGTCTCTTATTTTTGCTTAGACAGCTCAGGTACTGCCTCAATTCGAGCATGTTAAAAAATGTTTATTTTGGATTATTTCATTCTGTGATCAGCTATGGTGCGATTCTGTGGGGTANAGTCTTCTGTATTCATTATGAATTTATTAACAATTCAAGCCTTTTACTAAAGTTATAGTCCTATTATTTATTCAATTATTGATCGTTATTTATTAAAAAAACATTAAAAACACATAGTTACTTTTATTATAGAACAAATTATTAAAAAATAAAATGAAAAAAATTGTTCATACCAATTTTTTTTAAATAAACAAAAAAAAACTAAAAAAATATTTTTCAAAACCTCAAAGAACAATAGAATTTATGATTTAAAAAAAACGGTTCCTTAATTTGAATATTTAGTTGCAAAAAACGATTGTGTTAGTCCAGTCAATTTAGTCGTTTCATCTCCAAATGAGAGACAATGATCTGTAAACTCGTTTAAACCTTCATCCACATATTCATGAAGTTGCTTTTGAAAGTCTCATAAAATCTCGTGACTGCGCCGAATGTTATCCAAGGTCAAAGGCCACAAAAATCAGTTTTTCGCGATTATCTCGGTGTTTATAGTGGAGCATAAAATTTTCGACAAATGCTGATGAAACTCTTTTTATACCCCCAATCGTTTTTGAGATAGAGGGCGGAGAACCCGCAACGCTCAGTCATACTCTCTGTAATGCAAGGTCAACCGTGAATCTCAGTGCATAATACCTCGTATAAAGTTGTTGAATTGATGAAATATTATGAAATATTATTATATTATTTTCGAGCCCTGAAGAAGAATTTTATTAAATTAAAAATGTCGGCAAGGATACAATTGTTTTTTGAAGAAAAAATTGATCCTGTTGAAAGGATGTTGAAGAATTCAGGAGCATAAAAATTGAATTGATTCAGTTATTTACCTCATTACATTACATGTAATACGAAAAATGTTGTTCAAAATGGTGTGCCACTTTCCTGAAGTGAAAATACCAAGAGTGAGGAGTTTTTCAAATTTCTACGTTGATTTTGCAATGCACACAAAAACGTATGTAGACCTCACCGTATGGTTTTCTTCAAGTAGATGCTCCATAAAACACGAATTGCAATAGAAAGTGTTGCGCCTCATCGTTTTATTTATTATTTCAGATGCTATTTATAACGCCAAGAAAGTATTCGTACAATATGTTTGAATTTTTATTTCGTTTCTTGATGTTTTAACCTGTCGGGATAAGACACCACTTTTATTACCGCAGAATGTATTTTTAGATATTTGGCACGTTTTGGCGAATCTTTTTGCGAATTTCTGATACTTCACATATTCAAACTGTTAAATGCAGTCGCTATACATCATGAGCTATTAATATTTGTAGGTAGCAGTGGCCTACTTTTTTCTCACATAACTGAATTATTATGGTTGCCTATGACTTGTAACTTTTTTTTACTTTTATGTATTTGTATGTATATATATAGTTGTATGTGTATGTGTTTTTTTCATTTTTTATGTATGTATATAGTTAAGTAACTGTTTTAAGAGTCCGATCTATGTTATACTGTGGACCGTTATTATTGTTTCATATAATTTTTACAATTTTTATTCATGACATGTCTTATATCATGTAAATGATCGAAAAGACGAATAATTATTGAATTCGGTAAACTTGGAATGAAATGACGGCAATTTTGCCGATTAGCATGACCGTTAAGAGACAAACCACACTCATCAGAAAACATAACGTCTTCTAATTGAATGATATTGTTATCCAACATGTCCATCATTTGCTCACAAAAATAAGTTCTTCTATCAAAATCGACTTCCATGGACTCCTGAGTAGGTATCATTATATTTGTTTTACTCAAACTCAAGCATCAAATCTAATTTGAGTTCATAACTTATTACACTGGCAGCTGCTTTTTTTATCAGCCCCACGTGGCCAAGCTCGCGAAACTCTTTCTCTGTTTTGTTTGTTGTTCCTTGAGATATGGGCGGTAAATTAGTAAATTTCTCATGATATAGGCGAGCTACTTTCTGTTGTGTTCGAGTTTTATCGCCGAAACCAATCATTTGTAAAACTGTTATCTTATGCATTTCCGTTAATCTAACCATTTGTCAGACTTGAAGTTAACGAACTTCAAACTCAAATTAAAATACTGACAACTATTGTTGTAACATACAAAACGAGTTGACAAGGCGTTTTAAACTAACGTTGCCACAGAATTTATTTACAGTTTTTTAAGGATACCATCTAAAAAGAACATTGCTTTGGTTTTTTGCTTACTTTCTTATTATCAATACCTCAACATGAAGTAAGTTTTGAGTGTATTGCAATAAGTTCGAATTTCGGTAATCACATGATTTTAGTTTTTTCTATCTTAATTGTTGCAATGAACTTGAAAGCGATAACATTTTTGAATAGAAAATGAAGATACCTTTCAAACGATATATCACAAGCCTATACTTCCCATTTGAAAAATTGGGGATTGTACCTGTCATTCGACGGGGGTTGAAGGTAGGGGTAGCATGGAGAAACCTTCTTTTCCCTGTACAATTCGAAGTACTCCGTTGAGGTCCTAGATAAAATTGAAGGTCAACATTGCCCAAAGTGCCTAGAAGTTTCCATGATATCACTTCACAAACTAGAAATGTCTCATCAGTGGGGAAAGAAACAAGGTTTATTAATTTAAACACGCATAAAATGAAAAATCTATAACAGGTGTATGACGACGAATT